CCTCCTAGAGGAAGCCAGCCTCTGTGTGCAGTGCTGCCAGCATGAAGAGCAGTTGGAAATGGGTGCACATGAAAAATGATGATAATGATGACAGCTTCCATTTTCCAAATGATTCTTATGGTCCAGCCACGTGTGGAGTTCATTTACACTGATTAGGTCATTGAATATGTCCAGACAGACCTGGGTAGGAGCTATTTTTATCCCTGTTTAGTAGATGAGAAAGGAGTTGGGTGTTAGAGCTGAGTCTTAAGCCCTCATCTGGCCGGATCCCAGGTCCAAAGCCTGAAGCTTCTTTAGTCACAAGGTTACATCATTTCACACCTAGAGCCCTGCTGCTATTCACATTCTTAACATCAGAGAGCTGGAAGGAAACCTTGGGTCATCTAGTCACAGATTCAACCCATGCTAAATCTCAAGCCTTAGAGAAAGCAGCCCAGCCGGTCGTTGTTTGAAAAAGACGCAGAGAGGAAAAGCCACAGGACTGGGACTACGACTTGGACCTCTCTCTGTTCCTCCGGGTGCCACGGACCAGAATGGACTCTCGGTCTATTTGTCTTCTCAGATCAGTGTCCCGCCAGTGTGTACAAACCCCAGTCAGAACCCTCCTCCCAGGAAAGCACGGGCCCTCCAAAAGCAGCCGTGCATGTACTTAGGAGTTCACACGGTTTCCGACGCTCACCACAGTGACCAGGTGATCCAGGGTTCGATCCTAAAGGAACAAAGAAAGCGGAGCAGTCTGGGAAATTGGAGTGTCCCCACTTCCTCCTCTGCATCTGAGCATTGATTGGACTTAGTGAGTTCTCACATGAGTTGCCTTTTCAGCCCTACTTTAAACAGGCAGGATAACTAAAAATGTGAATATTAAAATTTTATTATTCAAAAGCCCTTGAAGTCCCCATGGATCATCGTAGTAATTAAAATGCAGCACAGAAGACCCCTTGCCTCAGCAGCTCACAGTAAAAAGAAAATGAACACCCAGACCGGATTAAGATAGAAAGTGGAAAAGGCTAGAATTAGCATGCTGATGTGTCCTATTCAGCAGAGCAGCTGGCCTTGATGGAGGGGGAGGGGAGGAGTGCTGCGGGCGGTGTGGGAGGCACTCAGGGAGCCTTGTAATTCCGAAGGCGGGCACACAGTGAGTCCCAGTCCGAAGGAAGGCCTCTGGCCCAAGGGTCCTCTTCTGCGAATCCTCAGGCCCGCGAGACCTCACACAAGGCTCGTGTCTCTGCATTTTCTAATGTATTTCCACTTCTCTTTAAGCCTGCCAAGGCCTGCCTTCTCCAGTGCCCAGCTCTACAGCTACCTCTTCCAGGAAGCCTCCTGGTTCAACATAATCACACTTTCCTTTCTGCTCACTGTGCATTTGGCTTATACTTTTCTTCAAGCATCTATGAATTTTTGCCTTGAATTTTAGTCATTTCTGTATATGCTAGTCTTTCCCAATAGTGTGTAAGTCCATTGGGCAGGTGCGGTATCTTCATCTTTATATCGCTGAGCTGCCCCCTGAAGGCAGGCGTTTTGCACATGCTCATGGATGGGGCAGGTGGCTGGTGCAGCCACTCTGGAGCTGGTCTCAGTGTCTTTCCCCGCCTTCTCACTGTGCCCCCTCTGCCCTCTCCTGCTGTCCAGAGTTGGGAGGATAGTGAAGTCAGTGGGTGTTTGTATTTGTCAGGCACGTTGCCTTTGGTGATCCTCATGAGGAACAGAGAAGTAGTCTCATCTGTGAGCCAAATATGCTGTGATGGATCTGTGTGGAGAAAACTAATTGTTAACATCTGTTGAGAGCTGGCACGTGCTAGTCATGGTTCTGAATGCTTCACACGTATAATCTAATTCTCACAACAATCCTATGAAAGAAGTACTACTAACATTTCCAAATCCTACATGAAAATACTGGGCACAGACAGTTAAGCAATTTGCTGAGATTCTGCTCTTGATCAGTAGTACCTTATGTTAACAACACCTTGTCCCTAAGAGACTTGATGCCCTCCCAACTTTACAGAAGGAAGGGACCATTCAGTAGCTCTATTCCCACCCTTTGGTTTGCCGGGAAATCTAGCTTAGGCTTGGACATGGTTTTTTACGGGGCAGAGAACACCATCTTAGCATACGGTCCTGGGGTTCTTAGATCAAGCTCTCAGACACCAAGGTGTCTTTCCTAGGGAGTTGCCGGGGCAAGTGGAGTAAGTGCAGGAACCCCTCCGTGATGTCCTGCGCTTCACACAGTGTTGGTGGAGTGTGGTTTCTCTAATGGAATTATGACCCTCAGAAATTCTTCCTCCTCACATATTTCCTTCTCCCCTAAGTTTCCATTTCTTTTTTCTGCCCACTTCCTCCCCCGGCATCAGCCTGGTACTGAGGACTTGGCATCAGCCCCTCTTTCTTCATTGAAGGCTCGCCTGAATGGCGGCTGTTACACAGGGCCCCCATTGTGGGCTCCCACAGCAGCGGCAGAGCATGCTCCACGGCCCGGGCTTGAGGTCCACCCAGGCAGCGTGAGCCGGCTGGCTCCCAGTCCTGGACTGTGGTGTTTTCTTTTGTTGTCGGGCTCACCCTCCTCCACACCACTCCCCAAACTGTTAAATAAGAAGCTAGAAGCTAATGCACAGAAATGGAAGCCTGTGCTCCTGGTACCAAAGACCTCTTTCTGCATTCAGGTGCAGCCAGAGGGACCTCACCGCTTCGGCCAGGATCTGTAGGAAGCTGGCCATTGGAATATAGCCCCGAGGTGGCCGATTTTACAGCTTGGTTGACTGTCCCATCAGCCTCTCCTAGGAAGTGCTGTAGGCCCGAGCCCCACTTAGACGGTCATGTGTCATCCTCTCTGTGGCCCCACCAAGCAAGCAGCACAGAGTATCCATGTTCGAGCTGCCAATGGCCATGTGTGTTCATGCACCGACGTCATGGTTTCCCAGGGCTGAGTTAAGCTGTGTGGGACTCTGTGCACGCAGCGTTTCTTCTCTGAGAAATTTTTCAGGTTGTTCGGTGCTCATTTGGTGCTCTGGACCCGACCTGTGGGCATAGGTTTGTGAGCTAGGGTGCGACAGTCCTGAAGCAGTGAAGTGTAGGAGAGGCCGAAGCTCCCACTGCTGGGCTCCTGTGGAGGTGTGACCAGGGCCAGAAGGTGCAGTTAGCTGGCTGCGCCCCCGCAGCTGCGTGGCGCTTGCCACATCTGAATGGACTGCGGAGACTGAACTGTTCTTCTTGAGAGGGCGGTGTGAATGGAACCGTGTGCCTGCTCAGACCTCAGGGCGGGTCCTCAATGGCTGTCTTGGAAGAACCAGCATTGTGGGACACCAGGACAGCGCATGGGCAGTGGAGACTGTGTTTTGGCGTATCCCCTTGATGAAGTGCACCCCGCCGTCTGACTTCCCTGTTCAGTTCCAGAGCTGAGCTTCAAGAAGGGTGCGGGGGCTGCAGGCATCCCGCCCAGGGGGAGGGCAACAGTGTGGGGGCAACTTGGATTCTCACCACTGTCAGGACATAAAAGGGGTTTTGAAGGACCATGTAGTCCAGCCCATGTATTTTATTATTTTTTACTTAATCTTTATTGTATTTTTTTCCATTACCATTTAGTCCCCTACACCCCCCCTCTCCCCAAACCCACTTGTCATAGATACCGAAGCCCAGCAGGATGAGCTCACTGCCAAGGCCACACAGCTCGAGAGCAGCACGGCCGGGAGAACCAGGTGTTCGGATGCCTAGGTTAAAGCTTTCTCCCCCACCACCTCAGACAAACCTCCAAAGGCCTGAGGGCCCTCGATTTTTCATCTGCAAAAATAGTTGAACTTGACCCTTCCAGGTCTAAGATTCTCTGATCTCATGAACAGTTAATTGGGGGCTTTGGGAAGACTATAAAATCATTTGGTGTGTGTACCATAGCTTCCACTTACAGAGAAAATAAAGTTGAATATTAGCTTTGGAATGTGAACTAGTACCGGGTGCAGGGCTGTTTTCTACAGCCGTGTAGAAAATACAGGGGGTTAGAATCTCTTCTTAATGGGTCCCGGCTCCTGCAGGGCAAGCCCCTCAAGTGCCCCAGTGTGAAACCCATGTTGGACTCTGATTTGGTCAGTTATTTATGCTGCTTCAGGGCGGCGGTATTTGATATCCTGGGGGAGGGCACAGTAGCAGTCGGCCTCCTGAGCTGGTAGTGTCAGATTTCTGGCATGTTAGGGGCCTTGGGAGAGCTGCAAATGTCTGTTGGCACTGACAGATTAGACCATTTTGTTTCCAGTGGATCAACTAAGGTTAAACTTAAACAAATAGGAGCAGCTGGGAGCCTTTGGAAGGAGTGAGATGTGCGCATTCTCAGAAAAAAAGAAAAGTTTGTGCTCCCTGCGGAAGGAAGGATGAGGCGTGGAGCTCTAACAGCCCCCCTGAGGAAGGAAGCGGTCATTTCTCTGCCGCTTTGTTTTGTACTTTCAGTTAAGGAATTCCAGAAGTTGCAGGTTGTGGCTCATGACCTCCTTTTCTCCCTCTGCTGCTGCCTGCCAGAGGGAGGGAGGGCGGGCGGCTCTAAATAACACTCCGGCCTTTATGGAAGCATATCAGATGTTCCGGGAGCGAGTCTCCCTTGCTCACACTTGCTCACTGGCCCGCTCCCTTTCTCTCTCACTTGTACTCCGTGTCCGCTCACTCTCCTCACTGTGTCCTGTCTGTAGAACACGTAGTTAGTACTTCTCGCCTTATATAGCAAGGTCTGGTCGTTAATGTTAACAGAAATCTAACAACAGGGAAGGCTGCCAGATAGCATTAATCAGGCCAGTGTTTGGAATTTCATAAATGCTCTGACTTTGGGTACAAATTGAACGTTAGGAACAATACGAAACTGTTTTCTTCCTTCCTCTCTTTCCTCTCCCTCTGCCCTCTCCCCAGCCCATCCTCTCTCTCTCCCCCTGTTTTTGAATTCCTCTGCTCTGCTGTGTGCTTGCTACATTGGAACTTTGTTGATTTTTGCCACTTTAATTTGTTATTTCTCTCTCTCCGTCCACTTCAAGACCACAGGCAGAGCAGCTGCAGCCGGAGCCAGGACTCTGCAGAGGGGCAGGACGGGCAGGTCCCAGAGCAGTTCTCGGGGCTCCTCCACGGCTCCTCCCCGGTGTGCGAGGTGGGGCAGGACCCTTTCCAGCTGCTCTCTGCCACTGGCCAGAGCCATCCAGAAGTGTCCCCCACGCAGGGCACCTGCCACGAGACCAGCATGCAGCTGGAGGAGCCGGGTGTGCACGCTCCTGGAGGCTCCCCGCCCAGTGTCCTGGACCAGAGTAAGAGAGTGGGCTACCCAGCAGGCCTGCCCACCACTAACAGCCAATCGCACCCCGAAACTTTGACTCACACAGCGTCTCCACACCCTGGTGGTGCCGAGGAAGAAGGAGACCGGAGCGGGGCCAGAAGCCGGGTCCCTCCCACCAGCAAACCCAAAGCCGAACTCAAACTCAGCCGCAGCTTGTCCAAGTCCGACTCCGATCTCCTGACCTGCTCACCCACGGAGGACGCTGCGATGGGGAGCCGGAGCGAGTCTTTGTCCAACTGTAGCATCGGGAAGAAGAGGCTCGAGAAGTCGCCCTCTTTCGCCTCAGAGTGGGATGAGGTAAGGCTGTGTGACGTCACAGAGAGCGAGCTGGCCACAGCCCACCGCAGCTCTCCTGTGTGGGACTCCCGGGAGCAGGCTGTGGGCCAGGGTTGCCCCTGGTTCCTTCACACTGTGACCAGTGTGCTTCTGAGAGCCGTGCAGGAGGCAAGCCCCAAGTGGCTGGCAGGGTCTGCTCTCTGCCTGGATCGCAGAGAGCAGATCCATTTATGGTTGAACTGGAGGGTGGAGGCCCCAGCACAGCAGGACAGAGGGACAAGAGGTTTGGAGATGATTTAGATCCTGTCAGCCCCACTGAAGGAGTCATGCTCGCTCTGAAGGTGGTTAAGAAGCGCTAGAGTCCTTCCAGTGAGGCTTCAGGAGGAAGAGGGGAGATCCAGGGTTAGCTAGAAGGTGGAGGGAGGGGCTGGCTTTGGGAGAAGCTGCTGAAAGGGGATCCCAGAGGGCTTTTCTCTTCCCCACACCTCTGTGGTGTTCTTACCGTGTCCCCTGGAAGACCCTGTGCCTCTCCCAGCAGAAGTGCCTTACCCATCCCACATTTCCAGGCTGGTGAGGCAGGGGGCGAGGTGGTTCAGGAAACAGAGAGATTGGTGAGAACATGTTCAGAGTCTGGGGCCCAAGTTCCTTTCGTAACCATTGTTACAGGATAATTGAAATATGTACCTGACTATTCCTCAGTGGCCTGTGGCACATCTTACTGGGCAGAAGAATGTTTCTCAAAGATTGGTAAACACTCAGGGAATGTTAAAGTGCTGTCCTTGCAGGCTTCTAGCCAGGAGAAAGCTGCCTTTGAAGTGGACTGGGTCTGTCTCCCAGGAACATTTTCGGGAGAAAAATTTAGCTCTCAGGAGGAGGGGAGCAGTACAGCTGACTCCTGCGTTTGTAGACTAAATGCCTGTCCTGGCTCTGTTCTGGTTGCAGCTGCAAAGTTTTGTAAACTGAAGCTAACCCCATCCCCTGTGGGAACAGGGCGGGGGCGATCCTGCAGCGCTCGCGTCCCCAGATAAGACGGGTTCAGGGCTGTTTGTCAGGATCCCTGCCTGACAGAGGTGTTCACAGTCAGTGAAGTGGTGTGTGGTGGGCCTGTGCTGGCTGCGGCCGCTGAGGGAAAGCAGGCCCAGGGACAGGGCTCCAGGCCGCTGGGGAAGACGTCAGACGCGGTGTTTGTTCGGCCTGTGCACTCTACCTTTGTTTTTCAGAACAGAGTGTTGCTCACCCACAGCCAAGTCTAGAATGAGGCAGCCTGTGAGGAAGATAAGTGCAGTGTGCTCTGAAACGACAGGACAGTGAAGCGAGAAGGACATCTGTGGGAGTGGGGCAGTGGACGGGGGTGTGAGAGGGAGGAAAGGGCTTCAGGGAACATCGCAGAGAAGTGGGGTGAGGGTTGACGTGGAATTAAAGCGCCAGTGTTCTGGTTAAAACCAGATTGCAGCCAGTGGGATGGAGAAAGGATATTGCCGGCAGAGAGGGCAGCATGAGCAGAGGCGTGGCCTTGGGGGTGCTGGGGTCACTGGGTTTCTGTAGAGTGTAGAGTTTGTATGGGGACAATAAGAAATAAGGGTAGAGAATAAAATTGGGACCAGATTGTGAGAGGGCCTTGAACTTAAGGCTGAGAAATGAGTCTTTGATTCAATATCAAGGCACTATCTCTAGTCCTTTAAATGGGCCAGAAGACAGCGTTACCAGTCTAATGAGTTTGTTACCCCTTCTCTTTGACTCCATCTGCTGCGCGTGCCTCTCCCCAAGAGGTCAGCAGTGCTGGGTGAGTCCTCACAGGACTTTCCTGCTCTGTGAGTGGCAGCATTACCAGGCCGTCTCGTGGGCTCTACCCTTTCCTCCTGCAGAAGAAGCATGAAGTCCCTGGGCCACAGCCCAGCTTCGTTGCAGTTGGCTGTTTGGACTCATAAACCAGTTGTCTCTTGGCATCTTAATGAGAGGATGTTCATGTGCTGATACTCCCTTTGCAGGTAGAGATTGCAGATGGGCACAGGGGACCCAGGGACTGCTCAGGGTGTCCTGGGCCGGCCTGTAGTGCGATCTAGAAACACATTTTAAATTTGAAAACAGCTAAAGGCAATTGAGGTCTTCATGGAAAGAATTCAGAAGATTGAGCTTTGCTTGTGTAGTAAACCTTAACCCTTCAACATTGTTTTTGAGTCATATTATCTTGGTTTTTGTGGATGTTTCCCCAGTGGTTGGCTTTACACCCAGGCCCTTAGTAGGCTTTCCTAGAAGAGCACGCAGTAAGCAGCTGCTTCCATACCCCACCCCGACCATGCCTGAAGGCTGTTGTGTATCTTGTGCTTGGTGACTTTTTTTCTTTGTCATTCATCATTAGATCCCCGGAGGGGGGGGGAGGCTGCTCTAAGGGCTGAACCTGGGAGGCAGAGAAAGGCTCTGGAGCCCAGGCAGCTGTGATCCTGGCACAGGATAAATTGTGCACGGAGTTGGCCGGGCCCCTCATAGGAGGTAGTGCAGGGCAGTACAGAAGGCTCGGGCCCCAGAGTCAGCAGATCCAGCCTTGAGCCCCAGCTCCACCAGCTCCGCCTTGATGCGTGGAGGGCCTCGGGAAGCCTTCGTGCTTCACCCTGGTTCGTGAAATGAGGGTAGGCGAGTCTGAGTTGCAGAGTTGTTTGCACCAATTAGACAAGTGCCTAGCACAGGAACTAGTGTGTAAAAAGCACTGCGCGGATGGTGGGTTGTTACTGTGCCTGCAGTGTCTTCAGACCTTGAGGAAGGCAGAGCTTATAGGGCTCGTCCAGGTGTGGGACGGTGACTGGGGAGCAGCCGAGTTCAGGCCACTCAGCTCATGAAGCCCCGAGTGACTCTGCCCTACCCCAGGCCTGGAAGAGCTCGCCCAGCCTTGGAAAGCAGGGCAGGCGCCCCCCATTGTTCTTTGAGAAATTAATGAGCCTTTCTGCCTAACTCCCTGAGAGGAGAAGAGAGGTTATAAATCTCTGGTGTTTATTTTTCAATGTATTCTACATACAGTAGTTCCCTATTTATCCATGAAGGGTTCGTTCCAAGGCCCCACTGGTACCTGAAGCTGATACTAATGACCCCTACATATCTATTTTATCTATCTACACACACACACACACAGTGTTTTTTCCTATACATGCATACCTGTGATAAAGTTTAATTTATAAATTAGGCACATAAGAGATTAGCAACAGTGACTAATAGTAAAATAGCACTATTATAACGATATATTATAATGAAAGTTATGTGATGTAGTGTCTTTCTCCGTCTCTCTCTCTTAAAACCCCTCACTGCACTGTCCTCACCTTTGCACTAGAAGGAAGCACTTGACAGATTCCTTCCGGCATGCTGAACCGCCGGCATCACTGCTACTGCGCTTTGGGGCCTTCGTGAAGGAAAAGAAGGGTGACTGAACACAGGGACTGTGATCCAGGAATGCCGATCCGATCACCGGGGTGGCTGCTAAACGCCCGAGGGGCAGGTGCCGCGCACAGTGTGCAGTTGCTGGAAGGAGGAAGAGTCATGTCCTGGGTCATCCAGCCGAGCAGGATGGCGTGAAATTTTTATCACGCTACTCAGAACAGTGCCGTTTTAAACCTACAAATTGTTTATTTCTGGAATTACTCATATAACCATTTTTGTGTGGTTAGCCACAGGTAGCTGAAACCGCAGGAAGCAAAACCGTGGACAAGGGGGCACTGCTGTGACGGCCAGCAGTGCCCACCTGATGGGTCGGTTGTGTGGGAACGTGTGCAGCTGGCAGACGAGGAGTCGCCTTCTGCAGACAGACCGTTCCGTGTCAGTCCTTAGTGCGGCCCTCGTTAGCCACCCCGCACGGCGACGTCTGGAAGTTAGCCTGGTTAAGGTAAACACTGAGACCGTGTCCATCAGTGATACTAGCATTCTCCCTATCCTCTGTTATATTTTTAATAACAAAGAAGTAATAGAGTTTGTTTTTAAAAGCACTCAGCCTAAGAGGAGATCTAAATCCAAGCTTCGGTGGCTATTTTCTGTGTTCCCCAGTCAAATCAGAGGCACTCTTCATTGTCTTAACGATCCCGACAGTGTAACCGAGAAGCTGTACGTAAATAAAACTGGAGACGTGCATAGATACAGTGGGGAAAATCACCTGCATCTCTCTACACACAGTTAACACCTGTTATCATTTGATGTGTATCCAAGCTGGGGGTCTTAGCGTATGTACAGATTTGTCGTTGGCTTTTCTTACCTGCCGGCTGCCTATTGGACGTGCTGCGCTGGCACCGTCAACGAGGTGTGGATTCAGGTCCGGATTCTAAAAGGCGTAGTGTTCTGTTCCATGGCCACGCCGGTAGGTTAGTTTGTTGTTGCTTGGTCCCCACTTGCCCCGTATTGCACAGGGCATTTTCCATCAGCCCTTCGAGTGCATTCCCTCCCCTCCCTTCCTACCTGGATGTTTCAGGAGCCAACCCCCATGACCCAGTAGGCCAAGGAAATCGTGGCTTGACTGTGTTCCCTTACTGAAGACCACAACTCCTGTGAGGGACCCTGTCCCAGGAGCTGCCCTCTCTGGGTCCTGGTAGCCTGCCCGGGGCTCCTGGCTGGGACTGGCTCCCACCCCGTGCTGCTGGCCTTGTGCTCTGCCCAGACTTGTGTCAGTGATCCTTTGTTCAGCTCCTGCAGTTGCCCCGTTTGAATGTGCCGTCATTTTGCTGCAGGGACCCTGAGTGATACAGACATTTTTAGCACTGTTTCTGTCAAATGTAGGCAAGCCGGGTGGCTGTGTGCTGGAGCAGGAGAGACGGCTCTTGTGTGTGAATTGTGAATTAATCTTCATTTGCAGTTGAACCAGAAGGTGTAGATATTTAGTGTACTGGGAAGCAAGAGAAATCTATCATTTAACTTGAAGCCTTTCCCACTCCCAATTATAGCAAGAACGCTATTCTGCTTTCACCCAGTGGGCAGTGTGGTCAGCATTTCAGTTGTGGGCTGCTGGGTCCCAGTGGCCTGGAGGAGTTTCACCGCCGCGCCCCCGGGCC